ATTCCCTTCATGAATAAAATTAATCCACAGCATCCTCAGTGGCTCAGAGGCGGGAGTTTATGGATACTTTTATGTTCATTATTACAGCCAACAACAGAACAGTTATAATGTTTACATAGCTGACATATCACTAGCTGCTCTAGCGATGATATAAACATGGCAGACCATATGCGGCTCACTCAGGGTGGGATCTATGCTAATAGGGCAGATTGTCTCCCGTTGTGGGCAGAGCTTCCCCTACTCTTACACTCTAAAAAATGCTGGGTTGTTTCAACCCAACTTTGGGTCAGATATGGACTAACCCAACCCGTTGGGTTCAATTTTTACATTAAATTTTTAACCCAAGAGTTGGGTTAGTCCATATTTGACCCAAAGTTTTTTTTTATTTGACCCATTTAGAGTGATGTAGGGGGAAATCTGTTTATGATTTATGGGGATTATAAAAAAAAAAAAAGGAGTAGGTGGATTTTTACCGTTACATGCTGGCTGTTTATACACGCTGTGGATACACATCTGTGTTCAAACACCTTATAAAAGTGAATTTTCCATAATAGGTCCCCTTTAAATACTGTACCACCACTGCAGGTGGTTTTCACAAAATCCAAAAGGGCATAATTCCTGTTGACTGCCAGCATGAAAGTTGATTCTCACCAACTTTAATACTTAATCGGTAAGTGTATTCTAAGTGTTTGGTATATTTCATAATGGCCGTATTTCCCTGTAACTTCTGTGAAACAATAAAACAAATTAAAATTGTTTTGACATACTTTTTAGGAGTGTCTTGAAATGGTGAATACCCAATTTTTTGTGACTCGAACAAATGTTCTAGCTCTAGGATGAATTCAAAAAGTTTTTTTTTTCTTTACTTGAAATGACAGAAAAGGGAAATTGATATGCATATCATCAACTGAATCGGAGGCGCTGAAGGAATGAGAAGAAGCTTTAATCTTGATCTTAAATATGATGGTTTAAGAGTTATTAGCAAACAAAGTATCATTCTCACCAAATTTAATATACTGCTTAATTGCAACACTTGAGTGTCTGCCATATCTCGTAGCTGTCCGCCATTCAGATTTGATGTTATAAGCTGCCATGTTTGTTTAGTTATCTGGGTATTATTTAAAGAATGTTACCATTTTCCCCAAAGAAGGAGTTTACCTATTCTCAACGTGAAAATTTGATGCAACTTGGGAAGTCCTGTTGCATATGTATATTAAGTTTTGTTAAGTTTGGACTTTGTATTTGTCAGATAGGTTAATTTTGTTAAAATGCATGATGACAGACAAATTAATTTGTCTATAGCTTCTCAACACTTCAACATCAAAATTATTTTATTAACTTTTGTAAGGTTAGTCTAAAGCTGCTTTGTACAAAGTTTGGTGAAGATCTAACTAATAGCTAGAATTTTGATTCTAGCTCTTAGGGTTCCAGAGATGATAAGCAAAACACAAATGACATAATTACCTGATAATTGCCTAATAACCAAGCAGAAACAACATATATTCATTGTTTCACTTCTGGTTTTGACACAATGATAACAACACCACTGAGCTGATCAAACTTTTATTTATAACACTTTTCCAGTCATCTAAAATGACTAGTTTGTTATTAACAAACTAAATGTGCAAAGTGTAATGTTTTCAAATGGAGATGACAAGGGAGTCAATCAACTTTGCATAATCGTTATCATTTGTTTTAAACTACAGTTTTAAAAGGTTTATGTGTTGTTTAATAGGCTAAAGTAGGGTGAGCTGAAGATTTTGTATCGTGATTGATCTTGAAGATGTCTACAATGTACTTTTCAAATGAATTGTAAAGATTGTGACCAAATGTGTCCAATTTATGTCTGTATGTAAATATATCCATATATCTATGCATTTCACTTGGCAGGACTTTTAACATGTTAGAGCAATAAAGAAACATGGATGAATGAGAAAGTAAAGAGTGCAACTTTGCTGATATTAAAAGGAGTTTATAAAAGCACAATAAGCCATATAAGTGGAAATCATCACTGGAAAAAGTATACATTGTCAGGAAAGTAAACAAAACCGCAAATGCATTGCAATTACCGAGTTCATATCAACTGGCATGTTATCAGAATTATTCATGTTTTTGTCTAGATTATGAATCATCAACCCGGTGAGTGAACTGGACTAATGGAAAACGGGACTTTACAAGCCTAATGATGAGCATAGGCAACAGCAGAGAGATAATTAAAATAAGCTGTTTTATTTTAAATTACGTCTTTGGGACGATTACTTGATGGATTACGTGACTCCATGAGTTTGTCTCTATTTAAATGACATCAAGCATTTATGTAACAGATTTCATTTGTGCATTAATGACTGTTATATTAAATGTTATTCATTAAAGCAAAGCAAGTTACTTTACCTGTAAACACCATTGTTGACTCGACTCCCCTCAAATACAGTGCGGTAATGGTGGTCTTGTAATTTCAAAGCGTCCACAAAGACATTTCCCTCATTTTGAATATATCCTATTAATGTCAAGCCAGATCAGAAAAGACTAAACAAAATGGCTACTGCATTTAATGCATGTGATTTGAAAATATTGTTATATAAAAGTTTTAAAATATGGTCATGTCAGTCAAATTATCTATCTGATGGTGGTGACAATTTGATCTAAAGCTGAAAATTATAAGGTGAATAATTGTATCATTGTGAATGCTACATTTTCTCACACATTTTGTGAGAAAGTAAAAGTTACACCCAAATAATACAAAATAATTGAATACTTAAACGTTTATTTTTTGCATTCTTGTAGCCTGTTTTGTCTTACTTAAGAATCAGCCAGATGTGTAGAAGGCAAATTCTGTGTTTTCAAATGCACATTTTGTAAAGTCCTGTAGATGGAATATCCTGGATGCAGCTCTACATACCCCTCTGTATGGATCAAAAGCATTTTCAAACATTCCCTTTCAATGTTTTGAGAGTATAAAATCTGCAGTTTCAAACGTTTCTGATGAAAGAGGAGATGAAGAGAAAATTGCTCCCTTTTTTGTCCTTATTATCCTTTCATCTCCTGCAGGGCTTTTTTCAGTGTACTTATTTCTGATCATTTGTTCAGATCCATTTTATTTTTATTTCACTGCATATTTTGTGTTTATATGCAACCCATATCTCTCTTCAGCATAACCAGTAAAACAAGAACTCACATTCTTGATTATCAGTGTCTTTCTCCCTGTTCATCTATTCTTTTAATTTGTTGCATCAATTATTTGAATGTCCAAGATACTTATTTGCTGCAAAGTAATTTACCCCTTAATAACTTTTTTTATGCAAAACAGTTGTTCAGTATGCAGTTGTGGACATTTCGAACATTATGTTTCTTTGTTGTCATTGCAGTGACCCTCCTTTATTCCTTGTTTGCAGCAAGTGGCATCCAGTTATCATCTTGGAACTAAATATGGTTATTGGTTATATGGTGTTATGACATCCATGACATAAGCAGTTTTGGCACAGCGTGTCACCTACTGGTCAAGAGATTGACACTGGACGTTTTTGTTTTATAACTTCTGAACAGTTTGACCGAAAATCACGAGACAGCTCAAGGCGATATCAGATTTCCATGTCCACTATTTTGGGTGTCGAACCTTTAAAATTTTCTCATTACAAAAAAAAAAAATTACGTTTAATTACAAAAGTCAGTATGTATGCCCTGAGGTACTTAAAAAGTTTCGAGACAGTGCCACCTTGTCATTAAAATGATAATGATTTATTAGTTTTGCCTATTGTCATGAGACTGATCTTAATAGATTCCTTGGGTCATGAGAACATCAATACCAGTTATACTATATTTGGCTTAACTTGCTGAATTTAGTTGAAAACATACTTTTTCAATCTATTCCTAGACTGTTTTCACAAAATTTGACCCAGGTCATCTAACACTCTCATCTCATCTCTTTCCCTGCCATTGACAGAATTTTCTGTCATTTATGACAGAAGGCTTTCCTTTCCATTGACAGAATTTTCTGGAAATTTATGTTTTCACTGTTATATAGTAGGGGGCACTATTACGCATCTTCTGAAATAGTACACACAGAAACTAGCAATAGGGACATTGCTTACGCACACGTAACACGATCATTAAACATGCAACAGCACATAAATCAAAACACCCTAACATTACTGAATGAAATGTTAAACTCACAAAGAGGTATAGGACTGTGGTAGCTTTGGGGGTGTTGATGGACTCGGTCATTTGATCATGGTTCTCAATCCGATCAGGACTGAGTCTTTAACAAAAACGTGATTTTTCTCAGCTTTTTATTTAAGTTGTTGCTTTTTTAAATGAAACTTTCCCACATTTAAGTGTTGATTTAAAAAAAAAAAGGCATGAAGTTACAATAAAATGTTTTTTGTTTAAAAACAGAGTCTGTTCTTTATTTTAATATATTATATGTTCAGATATTCATGCAACAAAATATTCTGGGGGCCATGAAATTTTTGTTAAAATGATCAAAAATGCTAACGCTGGCTGGCAACTTAAAAAAAATATATATATGCTGGCGGGGAAAGAGTTAAGACCACGCCAACAAAAAGTTATGGATTTTGTGTTGATAGACAAAGCCACTATCATTTAATGCACAATTAAATTTGATGTCATGATTCCAAATTGAATCTGGATCTCTGCAAAGCTTTGCCATATTGACAACAAACTTTGTGTGTGTCATTGTCACCCCACACTGACCAAACTGAAATGTTTCTTGAGCACCAAATCAGCATATTAGAATGTTTTCTCAAAGATTTACATTTATATTACATCTTAAAACAGATTTAAATAGAAAACATTTTATTTTAAATTCTAATAATATTTCACAATATTGCTGTTTTTACTTTATTTTTGCTTTGTGTTTCAATTTTAATTTTATCATATCAAATAGCAAATGTCTATGAGAACTGGTAATATCACATATCAACATAATAGTTGTGTCCTATGTCTTGTGTGCAAGAAACTGAAGTTTTTCTACTCTCTTCCAGGGCAGTATGGGGAGTATTGCCTGTATTGCATGGAAAGGAGACACCCTAGTTCTGGGAGATGTAGATGGAAACCTCAATTTTTGGGACCTAAAAGCTCGTCTTTCAAGGTACAAATGTATTACTAAAGAATCTGCAAGTAAAATGTGTCTCCATGCATTTATGTGTGCAAACTGATTTAATTCCAAAACTCAGTAAACTACTTTCTTAGACAGCATCCTAATTTAAATGAAACCTAATAAAAGTCTGAGTTGGAAATATACGACTCTGTGCATCCCACACTTGAGTTACGTTTAGCTTGCATTTAAAATGTCATACTCATTTACATTTTTCAGGGCTGTACCTACACACCGCGGGTGGGTGAAGAAGATTCGTTTTGCTCCTGGGAAAGGCAACCAAAAACTCTTGGTGATGTACACAGATGGAGCTGAGGTCTGGGATACCAAAGAGGTTTGTGTGTGTTTACTTGATTGATTGATTGATTGATTGATTGATTGATTGGTTGGTTGGTTGGTTGGTTGGTTGGTTGGTTGGTTGAATGATTGATCGATTGATTGGTTGATTCTTTAGCAAAAATGGTTCATCTAATGCACATGCAAACATTTCAGAGAAATAAGACAAGGCAGTGCCTTAACTGTTGATGTGATTGGCTGATTTAAATGAGAGATTGGACTTTCTTTTCTGTGGCAGTCATACTGAGTTTTGTGATTTCTCTCATTCTTTTTTCTACAACTCTGTCTCATCCTACTGTACCTACTTCTGTCTTTGGGGCCGTATTCACAAAACATTTTATCTTAGCACTAAGAGTTCTCCTAAATAGCAGTAAAAGTTTTTAGCTAAGAGATTCCTCCTAAAACCTATTCACAAAGCTGCTGAGACCAACATTTACTCAGGAATTGGGAGAAATCTTAGAGCAGGGTTCCTCAAATCTTGCCCTGGAGAGCCAATGTGCTGCGGAGTTTAGCTCCAACCCTGATCAAACTGGCAAATTTTCTCAAGGAAAAAAAAATCTCTCAACTAATGCTGTAAAATATACCTGGGAGTCAGTAATATGAAAGGTTGAAATTTGCTGATTTGTATACAAACACTTCAAATATACTCAAAAATGTTTTTTTGTAATATTAAAGTTAAAATACTAACTTTAACTTTAAATTACATAATTATATTTCTACAATCATTTTACAGAAATTTTCATTAAAGGTTTTACAGGAAAAAAAAGTTATTTTACAGAATTTTCCTTGTTTCAATTATGATATTTTACTTTAATTTTACAGTTTTTGTTTGGCAGCTGTAGCTGCCAGTCATTTACCATTTTTTACGGGACTTTTTTTTACAGATTTTTTCTGGTTTCAATTACGATAATTTGCTTTCATTTTACGGTTTTTATTTGGCAGCCGTAGCTGCCAGTCATTTACCGTTTTTTTACAGGACTTTTTTTTTACAGTGTAAAACCCTTATTTTACAGATTTTTCCTAGATTATTACAATGAAAGCACTAAATGTTCTACAGAGAAACACTGTTATTTTACAAATCATTACAATCAAAAACCTTCAATAAGGTGAAAGCATGCTCAAGATGGAAAATAAACAGTTTTATTTGGAAGACAAAATACAAAGTCTGTACAAATGCCATATAAAATTTAAATTTTACATTTCAGTTTTTTTTTTTAAGAAATACAGCTCAATTACATTTAAAATACTGTACTGGTGAAGAACATTGAACAGTTTCATCAAAAAGTTGAATTAAATATATTCAACTTAAAGGACAAGTTCACTTCCAGAATGAATATTTTCTGATAATGTACCCATGTAATCCAAGATGTTCATGTCTTTCTTTACTCAGTCAAAAATAAATTTAAGTTTTTGAGGAAAACATTCCAGGATTTTTCTCCATATAGTGGACTTCAATGGGACCCAACGGTTGAAGGTCCAAATTTCAGTTTCAGTGCAGCTTTCAAAGGTCTTTACAAGTTCCCAGAAACCCTTATTCCTCGGCTGGGATCGTGTAAAGCCGTTTGAAGCTGCATTGAAACTGAAATTTGGACCTTCAACCCGTTGGGACCCATTGAAGTCCACTATTTGGAGTGAAAATTCTGGAATGTTTTCCTCAAAAACCTTAATTTTTTTCGACAGAAAAAAGAACGACATGGACATCTTGGATGACCATGGGGGTGAGTAAATTATCAGGAAATTTTATTCTGGAATTGAACTAGTCCTTTAAAACTGAAGAAATACAAAACCGATATATCTACAAGATTGTCAAGATTGATTCTTGTAATGAAAGAGTTTTATTATTCAGATGTAAATTTACATTATCAATTAATTCTTCATAAACAGTACTTCAGAACCCCCAGGAGGAACTGAATAACTAAAAATTGCATTTCTATCTTATCAGTTAGGGTTACTCTCGTGATGAGGTCAATTTTACCTTTGAGAGAAAGAAACAATTTGTGCTGTTTACTGATAGCTTTGTATCTTGTATTTTCCACATAAATTTTATATTAATCCACAATGTTCTACTGCTCCTGTGGGCTCCATATACAGTGGTGTCCAAAATGATTAGAACACTAGTATTTTCACCAGCTATAAAATGGTTTTAAGTCAGTTATTTCTAACTTTTGCTGTAGTGTGTCAGTAGAAAATATCAGTTTACATTTCCAAACATTAATTTGGCCATTAATTGTAATAATCCAGTGAGATTTTTGTTTGCTCCACACAGAGATCTGATCTGATCATCATCAGTCTGTCTGGAATGACATGAAGAAACAGAACAGAAGTTAATTGAAAAATAAAATTTATTTATGACATTATTTTTGACAGCATCCTCATTTTACAGCATTTTTACACAAGTGCCTAAAACTTTTAACAGTACTGTAGCTTCGCAGGTAGGTTTCTTGAAGCATCTTGGAGACGTTGCCACTATTCTTCTGGATTTAGTCTTTCTCAGTTTGTTCTGTTCTGTTCTGTTCATTACAATTAATGGCAAAATTAATGTTTGGACATTTAAACTGATATTTCCTACTGACATATTACAGCAAAAGATAGAAATAAATGTCACCATTTTTTAGCTGGTGACAATACTAGTGTTCTAATCATTTTGGGCACCACTGTAGCTCTGATAATATATATGTAGACAGACATATTTATTTTAATTCTGAATTCTAGCTATATTAGTGTAATAATAAGTAAAACCAAAACATACAACAAAAGCTCCATGACTCTGCTCCAGAAGTGACAGAACCAGCAGAAAGAGCAGTCTTCCTCCAAATTGCCAGTAATCAGCTGGATCAGCTGGGGATAAAAAAAAGAAAAGAAAACAAGATTGTGAGAAGACACCTGTTTTATCTGGGATTAAAACAAACTAAAACATGGAAGAAAAATACTGTGAACATTCCTTTAAAAATAAATTAATGTTAGTATGTCTTAATGTTAGACATGAATACTCACTTCCTCTGAAGATCATGTGATAGAAGTTTTCTTTTCCAAAACTTCTGGATCATAAGGGGGAAGCACACACACAAACACATTAATATCAATTTGTTTAATAAAACACTATCTACTTAATCACAGAGACATGGGCTTGCAAAAATGTACTCACCTGCTACATACAAAACCTTCACAGTTGATCCAAAATCCTGGTTTACATACAGTATTCTTCTCCAAGGAATCCAAGGATCATGCCTTCAGGTCCTCTCTGTCAAATGAGTTTACATAACAGTGTTCTCAGATTACTCATTTCAAAGTTCCTTCACTTTTTGAGTTTGATCTTAAAACTAGCTGACAGTATGGGTGGGCGATATGACCATATTATTTCACAATATAGGACATTTTATTTCACAATAACAGTATATCACAATACAGTTATTTTATTAAACAGAAGATCAAAGTAGCTAATTACAAACAATAGGACTAATGCAATAGAACAAAGGTAAGTTAAATACATTTTGTTATTTTTCTCTTTAGTATTTTGTTGTTTGATTAAAATTATGACCGACTGCAGGTAACGTTAGGCTAAATTATACTGCTGTCACTTTGTGTAAGAACAAAATGCACAGATCCAGTATATGCTGACACGTCACCGTGTTTCCACCTAAATGTTAATCTTGACTCCAAACATTAGCGACTGTGTTTAAGTCAAGTGAATTTTGAGATGGCTGTCTGTATTTGACCATTCAAGTGAGGCGCAGCTTTGTGTCTATATTTCTTCACTCATTTCATCACCACGCGCATCCTGCTATTAATTCCTCATTTATGCACATTTATTTATCAAACTGTCAATAACTTTAAGTAGTACTGTGCTATGAGTTTATATATTGCACTTCATAGCATCGCCACGACATGGTCATATATCGCCCAGCCGCAGCTAACTGTATTAGCTCATACTAACAAAACACAGTAACACACACTGGTAGGACATCGCGATTAGAATCTCACTTCAATGCACTGTATCTTAATGTAACTATAGAAAATGAAAGTAAAGTGAAAGTGACGTGACATGTGGCCAAGTATGGTGACCCATACTTGGAATTAGTGCTCTGCATTTAACCCATCCAAAGTGCACACACACAGCAGTGAACACACCCACCTACAATCCCTGCCAGTACGAGACTCGAACCCGCAACCTTTGGGTTACAAGTCCGACTCTCTAACCATTAAGCCACGACTTCCCCACGTTATAGAACATTATATAAGGTACTAAACGTTACTTACCTTTTGCAGTTTGTTTGTCTGTTAGCTGCTGGTAGAAGTCTGTGTCCATATTCGCGTGTATTTGTTCTCAATCGTCATCCCACGACCCAAACTCGCTCAAAATATGAATTAAACAAGTCAGACGTAAAATAATCCATGTAAAAGCCATTCCTAGTGAACCGACTGAAGAAAGACTGCTGCAGAAGCCGATCGGCGGCACACATTGCATCATTGTATTTTCAAATTTAAACGGGAAAACGGCGCGTACAATAGTCATTGGCCAGATTACATTTAATTAATTGTTCAAATGGTGATTTCACATTATGCTAGGGTTAGGTGCAAAAGTGTATAACTATCTGTATATAAAAACAATAGAAGTCTATGTAATGTCCCCATTTAGATAGCTAAGAAAACATGTGTGTGTGTGTGTGTGTGTGTGTGTGTGTGCGTGTTTGGCTACTTGTGCAGTTATATTGACATGACCAATAAGCACCCTTTTTGTATTTTAACAAATCCATGACCTTTCCTTTAGAAGCACCAGTTGTGCGTATTTGGCCCTTCAGTGTTACACAGCCCGTTGGTTAATCCTCTGTCCACCATAACACTTATTTAAAAATAATGCCATAATTGCATGCAAGTTACAAAATTTGTCTACATACTTTTATTTAATAGCATAGATATTGCAAGCTATTGACTGTAGTAGGACTTTATAGCATTTGTGATATGAGACAATGTAAACTGAAAATGTTGAACTTCTTCTCA